CACATTGGAGTGCAGGAAGACATAGCCGGGAGGCTCAACGGTCATGTCTGCCCCTTCAGATGTGGGATGGGGTTTTAACTCATTAGGGGAAGGAGTAAGACGCTGGGCTCACATTGGAGTGCAGGAAGACATAGCCGGGAGGCTCAACGGTCATGTCTGCCCCTTCAGATGTGGGATGGGGTTTTAACTCATTAGGGGAAGGAGTAAGACGCTGGGCTCACATTGGAGTGCAGGAAGACATAGCCGGGAGGCTCAACGGTCATGTCTGCCCCTTCAGATGTGGGATGGGGTTTTAACTCATTAGGGGAAGGAGTAAGACGCTGGGCTCACATTGGAGTGCAGGAAGACATAGCCGGGAGGCTCAACGGTCATGTCTGCCCCTTCAGATGTGGGATGGGGTTTTAACTCATTAGGGGAAGGAGTAAGACGCTGGGCTCACATTGGAGTGCAGGAAGACATAGCCGGGAGGCTCAACGGTCATGTCTGCCCCTTCAGATGTGGGATGGGGTTTTAACTCATTAGGGGAAGGAGTAAGACGCTGGGCTCACATTGGAGTGCAGGAAGACATAGCCGGGAGGCTCAACGGTCATGTCTGCCCCTTCAGATGTGGGATGGGGTTTTAACTCATTAGGGGAAGGAGTAAGACGCTGGGCTCACATTGGAGTGCAGGAAGACATAGCCGGGAGGCTCAACGGTCATGTCTGCCCCTTCAGATGTGGGATGGGGTTTTAACTCATTAGGGGAAGGAGTAAGACGCTGGGCTCACATTGGAGTGCAGGAAGACATAGCCGGGAGGCTCAACGGTCATGTCTGCCCCTTCAGATGTGGGATGGGGTTTTAACTCATTAGGGGAAGGAGTAAGACGCTGGGCTCACATTGGAGTGCAGGAAGACATAGCCGGGAGGCTCAACGGTCATGTCTGCCCCTTCAGATGTGGGATGGGGTTTTAACTCATTAGGGGAAGGAGTAAGACGCTGGGCTCACATTGGAGTGCAGGAAGACATAGCCGGGAGGCTCAACGGTCATGTCTGCCCCTTCAGATGTGGGATGGGGTTTTAACTCATTAGGGGAAGGAGTAAGACGCTGGGCTCACATTGGAGTGCAGGAAGACATAGCCGGGAGGCTCAACGGTCATGTCTGCCCCTTCAGATGTGGGATGGGGTTTTAACTCATTAGGGGAAGGAGTAAGACGCTGGGCTCACATTGGAGTGCAGGAAGACATAGCCGGGAGGCTCAACGGTCATGTCTGCCCCTTCAGATGTGGGATGGGGTTTTAACTCATTAGGGGAAGGAGTAAGACGCTGGGCTCACATTGGAGTGCAGGAAGACATAGCCGGGAGGCTCAACGGTCATGTCTGCCCCTTCAGATGTGGGATGGGGTTTTAACTCATTAGGGGAAGGAGTAAGACGCTGGGCTCACATTGGAGTGCAGGAAGACATAGCCGGGAGGCTCAACGGTCATGTCTGCCCCTTCAGATGTGGGATGGGGTTTTAACTCATTAGGGGAAGGAGTAAGACGCTGGGCTCACATTGGAGTGCAGGAAGACATAGCCGGGAGGCTCAACGGTCATGTCTGCCCCTTCAGATGTGGGATGGGGTTTTAACTCATTAGGGGAAGGAGTAAGACGCTGGGCTCACATTGGAGTGCAGGAAGACATAGCCGGGAGGCTCAACGGTCATGTCTGCCCCTTCAGATGTGGGATGGGGTTTTAACTCATTAGGGGAAGGAGTAAGACGCTGGGCTCACATTGGAGTGCAGGAAGACATAGCCGGGAGGCTCAACGGTCATGTCTGCCCCTTCAGATGTGGGATGGGGTTTTAACTCATTAGGGGAAGGAGTAAGACGCTGGGCTCACATTGGAGTGCAGGAAGACATAGCCGGGAGGCTCAACGGTCATGTCTGCCCCTTCAGATGTGGGATGGGGTTTTAACTCATTAGGGGAAGGAGTAAGACGCTGGGCTCACATTGGAGTGCAGGAAGACATAGCCGGGAGGCTCAACGGTCATGTCTGCCCCTTCAGATGTGGGATGGGGTTTTAACTCATTAGGGGAAGGAGTAAGACGCTGGGCTCACATTGGAGTGCAGGAAGACATAGCCGGGAGGCTCAACGGTCATGTCTGCCCCTTCAGATGTGGGATGGGGTTTTAACTCATTAGGGGAAGGAGTAAGACGCTGGGCTCACATTGGAGTGCAGGAAGACATAGCCGGGAGGCTCAACGGTCATGTCTGCCCCTTCAGATGTGGGATGGGGTTTTAACTCATTAGGGGAAGGAGTAAGACGCTGGGCTCACATTGGAGTGCAGGAAGACATAGCCGGGAGGCTCAACGGTCATGTCTGCCCCTTCAGATGTGGGATGGGGTTTTAACTCATTAGGGGAAGGAGTAAGACGCTGGGCTCACATTGGAGTGCAGGAAGACATAGCCGGGAGGCTCAACGGTCATGTCTGCCCCTTCAGATGTGGGATGGGGTTTTAACTCATTAGGGGAAGGAGTAAGACGCTGGGCTCACATTGGAGTGCAGGAAGACATAGCCGGGAGGCTCAACGGTCATGTCTGCCCCTTCAGATGTGGGATGGGGTTTTAACTCATTAGGGGAAGGAGTAAGACGCTGGGCTCACATTGGAGTGCAGGAAGACATAGCCGGGAGGCTCAACGGTCATGTCTGCCCCTTCAGATGTGGGATGGGGTTTTAACTCATTAGGGGAAGGAGTAAGACGCTGGGCTCACATTGGAGTGCAGGAAGACATAGCCGGGAGGCTCAACGGTCATGTCTGCCCCTTCAGATGTGGGATGGGGTTTTAACTCATTAGGGGAAGGAGTAAGACGCTGGGCTCACATTGGAGTGCAGGAAGACATAGCCGGGAGGCTCAACGGTCATGTCTGCCCCTTCAGATGTGGGATGGGGTTTTAACTCATTAGGGGAAGGAGTAAGACGCTGGGCTCACATTGGAGTGCAGGAAGACATAGCCGGGAGGCTCAACGGTCATGTCTGCCCCTTCAGATGTGGGATGGGGTTTTAACTCATTAGGGGAAGGAGTAAGACGCTGGGCTCACATTGGAGTGCAGGAAGACATAGCCGGGAGGCTCAACGGTCATGTCTGCCCCTTCAGATGTGGGATGGGGTTTTAACTCATTAGGGGAAGGAGTAAGACGCTGGGCTCACATTGGAGTGCAGGAAGACATAGCCGGGAGGCTCAACGGTCATGTCTGCCCCTTCAGATGTGGGATGGGGTTTTAACTCATTAGGGGAAGGAGTAAGACGCTGGGCTCACATTGGAGTGCAGGAAGACATAGCCGGGAGGCTCAACGGTCATGTCTGCCCCTTCAGATGTGGGATGGGGTTTTAACTCATTAGGGGAAGGAGTAAGACGCTGGGCTCACATTGGAGTGCAGGAAGACATAGCCGGGAGGCTCAACGGTCATGTCTGCCCCTTCAGATGTGGGATGGGGTTTTAACTCATTAGGGGAAGGAGTAAGACGCTGGGCTCACATTGGAGTGCAGGAAGACATAGCCGGGAGGCTCAACGGTCATGTCTGCCCCTTCAGATGTGGGATGGGGTTTTAACTCATTAGGGGAAGGAGTAAGACGCTGGGCTCACATTGGAGTGCAGGAAGACATAGCCGGGAGGCTCAACGGTCATGTCTGCCCCTTCAGATGTGGGATGGGGTTTTAACTCATTAGGGGAAGGAGTAAGACGCTGGGCTCACATTGGAGTGCAGGAAGACATAGCCGGGAGGCTCAACGGTCATGTCTGCCCCTTCAGATGTGGGATGGGGTTTTAACTCATTAGGGGAAGGAGTAAGACGCTGGGCTCACATTGGAGTGCAGGAAGACATAGCCGGGAGGCTCAACGGTCATGTCTGCCCCTTCAGATGTGGGATGGGGTTTTAACTCATTAGGGGAAGGAGTAAGACGCTGGGCTCACATTGGAGTGCAGGAAGACATAGCCGGGAGGCTCAACGGTCATGTCTGCCCCTTCAGATGTGGGATGGGGTTTTAACTCATTAGGGGAAGGAGTAAGACGCTGGGCTCACATTGGAGTGCAGGAAGACATAGCCGGGAGGCTCAACGGTCATGTCTGCCCCTTCAGATGTGGGATGGGGTTTTAACTCATTAGGGGAAGGAGTAAGACGCTGGGCTCACATTGGAGTGCAGGAAGACATAGCCGGGAGGCTCAACGGTCATGTCTGCCCCTTCAGATGTGGGATGGGGTTTTAACTCATTAGGGGAAGGAGTAAGACGCTGGGCTCACATTGGAGTGCAGGAAGACATAGCCGGGAGGCTCAACGGTCATGTCTGCCCCTTCAGATGTGGGATGGGGTTTTAACTCATTAGGGGAAGGAGTAAGACGCTGGGCTCACATTGGAGTGCAGGAAGACATAGCCGGGAGGCTCAACGGTCATGTCTGCCCCTTCAGATGTGGGATGGGGTTTTAACTCATTAGGGGAAGGAGTAAGACGCTGGGCTCACATTGGAGTGCAGGAAGACATAGCCGGGAGGCTCAACGGTCATGTCTGCCCCTTCAGATGTGGGATGGGGTTTTAACTCATTAGGGGAAGGAGTAAGACGCTGGGCTCACATTGGAGTGCAGGAAGACATAGCCGGGAGGCTCAACGGTCATGTCTGCCCCTTCAGATGTGGGATGGGGTTTTAACTCATTAGGGGAAGGAGTAAGACGCTGGGCTCACATTGGAGTGCAGGAAGACATAGCCGGGAGGCTCAACGGTCATGTCTGCCCCTTCAGATGTGGGATGGGGTTTTAACTCATTAGGGGAAGGAGTAAGACGCTGGGCTCACATTGGAGTGCAGGAAGACATAGCCAAACGGTCATGTCTTTTGGGTCGACTCAACCAGGCAGGGGTAGAAAGGGAATGGCATGCTGGGCTCACGTTTGAATGCAGAAAGACATAGCCGGAGGGCTCAACAGTCATGTCTGCCCTCTCAGATGTGGGATGGGGCTTTAACTCATTGGGGACAGGAGGTAGACGCTGGGCTCACATTGGAGTGCAGGAAGACATAGCCGGGGGGTTCAACGGTCATGTCTGCCCCCTCAAAATGCAGGGTCACTGTTGGAAAGTACTTGGAAAGTTCCTCGTACTTGCTGTGACAAGGAGGCAAGAACACAGGAGGCGGGGAGGGGGGAGGGGGGAGGGGCGGAACAGTGAGATATCTCTTCAGGGGCCTACGAGACGAGTTGGTGGGAAACTTCTACCTATACCCTAATTGCCCTTGCTTGATGAGAGGAATTAGCCATGCATACTCACTTAAAGCCAAAGCCGCAGCGGAGGAAGTCTGACGTGTCTGGGGCAGAGCGATGAGGGTGGTAATCTGGTAACAAGGCTGTGGCGCAACTGGCTGTAGAGCAACTGCCTGTAGCGCACTCACTTGGAGCCAAAATCGTAGCAGAGGAAATCCGACGTGGCGCCCACTTGCGGCAAGGTAATGAGAGAAGTAACCTGGTAACAGGGGGCAGGGTGGAGGGAGGAGAGCGGTTGGGAGTGGGGAGGAGGTGAGAAACGCCTATAGTGGAGGCTATTTTGGAAGAGTAGTGAGAGCAGTAATCTAACGATCAACATCTGCACCAGTGAGGTTGTCAACAGCAGCACCAGTGAGGAGTGCACAGTCCATGAGGGCATGAGGAGGAGGATAGCATCTTTGTCAACAGCAGCACCAGGGCATGAAGCCACGCGTGTGCTGCCCCCTGACTGCCACAAGCAGCACTCACCGCGTCCAGCCAAGTGTTGTAGATGGGCGTGGGGAACATGGCGAGGGTGGTGCCGCTGTCGATGATCACCCCTCCTCCCTGCAAGCTGCCCGACCCACCAAACACGTCCTGCTGCGGTTAGAAGGACGACTGGGCTTCGCTCTAGCACACACAACACACCAAGCCCACCACAACACTTACTGCGTCCAGCCAAGTGTTGTAAATGGGAGTGGGGAACATGGCGAGGGTAGTGCCGCTGTCGATGATCACCCCTCCTCCCTGCAAGCTGCCCGACCCACCAAACACGTCCTGCTGCGGTGAGAAGGACGACTGGTCGATGCCGGGCAGGCGCTGCCCTGCCACTGAGATGCCGTTCAGCTGCACATAATAATGTGATCTGATGGGGAGGAGAGGGGAGGAGGGGGGGGGGGGGGGGGGGGGGGGGGGGTGGGATTGGGAACACAAAGAGGTGAATGTATGAGTCGCCAAGCACGTCCTGCTGCGATGAGAAGGATGACTGGTCGATGCCGGGCAGGCGCTGCCCTGCCACTGAGATGCCGTTCAGCTGCACATAGTAGTGCGACCTGGGGGGGGTGGGGGGGGAGGGGGGTGTATGGGGGATCCATCCATGAGTGTGATTTGACCCCCCAAACACGTCCTGCTGCGGTGAGAAGGACGACTGGTCGATGCCTGGCAGGCGCTGCCCTGCCACGGAGATGCCGTTCAGCTGCACGTAGTAGTGCGACCTGGGGGTGGGGGGGAGGGGGGTTCGTGGGGGATCCATCCATGTGTGTGATTTGACCCCCCAAACACGTCCTGCTGCGACGAGAAGGACGACTGGTCGATGCCTGCCTGGCAGGCGCTGCCCTGCTACAGAGATGCCATTCAGCTGCACATAGTAGTGCGATCTGATTTGGGGGGGGGGGGGGGGGGGGGGGGGGGAGGAGGGTGGGCGAGGAGGGGTGGGGTTGGGGGTGAGGGGTGTGTGAGGGATGTGTGAGGGGTGGGGTTGGGGGTGAGGGGTGTGTGAGCTGCCAAGCACGTCCTGCTGCGACGACAAGGACGACTGGTCGATGCCTGCCTGGCAGGCGCTGCCCTGCTACAGAGATGCCATTCAGCTGCACATAGTAGTGCGATCTGATGGGGGGGGGGGGGGGGGGGGGGGGGGGGGGGGGGGGACGGGGAGGAGGGTGGGCGAGGAGGGGTGGGGTTGGGGGTGAGGGGTGGGTGAGCCGCCAAGCACGTCCTTTGAGACGTCTCAAGAAAAGGTTGCGGGTGAGGGGTGTGTGAGCTGTTTTGAGACGTCTCAAAACAGGGGTGGGGTTGGGGGTGAGGGGTGTGTGAGCCACCAAACACGTCCTGCTGCGAGGAGAAGGATGACTGGTCGATGCCTGGCAGGTCGATGCCTGGCAGGTCAATGCCTGGCTGGCAGGTCGCTGCCCTGCCCTGCTTGCTACTATCTGCCAACACGAACCTTTACTCCTGCCAAAATCCCCTCAACCCGCCGTGATGATTCCCCTCGCCTATCAACCAGCAGGCTCGTGTACAGCAGCCCATCCTCCAGAACCGTCCCAAAGATGAGACTCCCACCGCGCAACTTCTCGCCCCCCACCCCAGGCAGTGCACAGCACAAACACCCACCCACAGAGAAAAAGAACCTGCTTTTGAGTCGACTCAAAAGCTTCCCCGCCTAACTCCTCACCCCCCAGGCAGTGCACAAACACCCACCCACAGAGACAAAGAGCCTGGCATGCTTTTGAGTCGACTCAAAGCTCTCCCGCCCAAATCCTCACCCCCCAGACAGTGCACAAACACCCACCCACAGAGAAAAAGAGCCCACCAAGTCCTCGGGGTAAACCGTAAAGGGCCTCACCTGTCGTCCAAAAGGCTTGTGTACAGCAGCCCATCCTCCAGAACCAATTTCACTCACCTGTCCTGAAACCGTCATTCCCCTCACCTGCGTCATTCCCCTCACCTGCGTCATTCCCCTCACCTGCCTCATTCCCCTCACCTGCCACATTCCCCCCACCAGCCACATTCCCCTCACCTGTCGTCCAGCAGACTTGTGTACAGCAGCCCATCCTCCAGAACAGTCCCAAAGATGAGACTCCCTCCTCCCAGCTCCTCGCCTCCCAGACAGTGTGCAAAGACGCCATTGGTCTTGTGTGCCGCCTGCATCTGAGTGAGCATGGATAGCGCCCCCATGTTGAGCCCCATCACCTGCTCATTCCCACTCACCTGCCCACCCACGTCCTCTCACCTGTCGTCCAGTAGACTCGTGTAGAGCAGCCCATCCTCCAGAACAGTCCCAAAGATGAGACTCCCTCCTCCCAGCTCCTCGCCTCCCAGGCAGTGTGCAAAGACGCCGTTGGTCTTGTGTGCTGCCTGCATCTGAGTGAGCATGGATAGCGCCCCCATGTTGAGCCCCATCACTCCATCGACCAAGTGGTTGCCCGATACCAGGTTGCCGGACTGCTTGAACCCGCAGCTGGTGGGAAAAGAAAGAGTGCGGCAGGGAGGAGTACAAAGTGGGGGAGCGATGTGAGAGAGGAACATGGAGAGCGTCCCCGTGTTGAGGCCCATCACCCCGTCCACTAGATGGTTGCCTTGCCGGGGACTAGATTGCCTGACTGCTTGAACCCACAGCTGAACTCAAAGTTTCGGGTTTGATGTGAAGGGTTTGGGGTGAGGGGGTGAAGGGCGAAGAAGTACAGGGAGGGGGGGGGGGGGGGGGGGGGGGGGGGGGGGGGGGGGGGGGGGGGGGGGGGGGGGAGAGCATGGAGAGCCCCCGTGTTGAGGCCCATCACCCGCCCGCAGCTATACCAGGTTGCCTGATACCAGGTTGCCGGACTGCTTGAACCCGCAGCTGGAGGGGGAGGGAGGGGAGGAGGGAGAAGGGAGGGGAGGGGGAAGAAGGGAGGGGAGGGGGGAGAAGGGAGAGGAGAGGGACAGTGCATGGGACAAACAAATGACGGGAGAAAGAGACACAACCCATGGTGAGGTGAGAGACGGACAGTATGCAGCGGTGTTGTGTGCGGCGGGCGTGCACATGCAGTGGACTTCTGTGCCCCTCCCCTCCCCTCCCCCAACCAACCTCCCCCCTCCCACTTGCCCGAACAGATAGTCCATGGAGGCGGGGTCATCCCCAAGTGTGGAAAAGCCGAGCCGATCCCTAACGAGGTAGCCGGTGCTGCTCGAGTTGTCCGCGTACTGAATGGATGCCGTACTAGCACCGCATTACCCTTCCCTGCCGTCCATTTCCCTCCCCATCCCCCCCCTTCCCCGCGTACTGGATGCCGTAGAAGCACCCCCCTGACCCCCCTTCCCCCCTCCCTCGCGCTCACCCAAAGAGATACTCCATGGAGGCGGGATCTCCCCCCAGAGTAGAGAAGGAGAAGCCGGTCCCTAACAAGGTAGCCGGTGCTGCTGGAGTTGTCCGCGTACTGAATGGATGCCGTAGGAGTAGCACCGCGGGTCGCCCGAGTTGGAATACAGGATGTCCTGGCGACCCCTCTTCCTCTTCCCTCCCTCTCTCCTCCCCAGCCCTCCCCTCCCATCCCCTCCCCTCGCCTCCCCTTCCCTCCCCTCCCCTCCCCTCCCCTCCCCTCCCCTCCCCTCCCCTACCTCCTGCCCCCCCACTCACCCGAACAGGTAGTCCATAGAAGCAGGGTCGCCACCCAAGGTAGAAAAAGTGAGCCGGTCTTTCACGAGGTAGCCCGTGCTGCTGGAGTTGTCCGCGTACTGAATGCCGTAGTAGCACCGCGGGTCGCCCGAGTTGGGGTACAGGATGTCTAGACAGCCCTGCCCGAGCGTTCGCCTGGTCTGCTGCAGTGCTGAGCAAGTTGAGGTGCCGCAGTCAACCACCTGGCGGTGGGGTGAAGCGAGAGGGGAACAGGGAGTGGGGCAAGAAGGGCTGTGTGTGTAAGCAATCACCCGAGTTGGGATACAGGATATCCAGACAGCCTTGCCCGAGCGTTCGCCTGGTCTGCTGCAGCGCTGAGCAGGTGGAGGTGCTGCAGTCAACCACCTGGTGGTGGGGAGTGGGGCGGGAGGGTAAGAGGAAGGGAAACGTGAGGAGGTAAGAAACAGGAGGGGCAGATACGGAGAGAGGAGGGGCAGATACGGAGAGAGGAGGGGCAGATACGGAGAGAGGAGGGGCAGATACGGAGAGAGGAGGGGTACGTGATGTCCAGACAGCCCTGCCCGAGCGTTCGTCTGGTCTGCTGCAGCGCTGAGCAGGTGGATGTGCCACAATCAACCACCTGAAGGGGTGAAGGGAGGCGGGAACAGGGAGGGAGTGGGGCATGAAGGGGTGTGTGTAAAAGCAATCACCCGATTTGGGGTATAAGGGCGCCTTCCTGAGATGGGGCCCCACCGAGGTGCAGCATCATTGGTCCAGCGTGGCAGAATTCGATCTTGGTCACACCCACCACACGTGCCATGCGACGGGAGTCGGTTAGGGCGCCAAAACAAGAGAGTTGGTGCAACCACTCACATGCGTCTGCATAAAACGTTCATACGACAGTTTTCAACAGCCACATACTCCCATGAGACGGTCGAGAAACACACTGGGTGGTAACCGATAAAACTTTTAGGGTTTTCACGGGAATTTCATTGTGCTAGTTCATTTTTTTGGTTACGTGACAGTCTAGCTTGACTCGTTCTGACGTTCGGAGGCAAGAAAAGTTAACGTGCGGCAATTTCGCACGACCCTCGGCTGCAAATTCATGCGACGTCCACATTCACCCCCCACTTTGCCGCCATGCCACAGGCACGTGTTTCGTGCACTGTTGCTGGGGCCACGTCGGATGGGGCCAAATGGGGCCCCATCTCAGGAAGGCGCTATAAGATGTCCAGGCGTCCCTGTCCGAGGTGCCACAGTCGACCACCTGGGCATTGGGGGAACAGGGAGGGAGGTGGGACCGTGGGATACGGAGGGGTGTGTGTAAAAGCAAAAGCAGTCCCCCGAGTTGGGGCATAAGATGTCCAAACAGCCCTGCCCGAGCGTTCGCCGGGTCTGCTGCAGCGCTGAGCAAGTTGAGGTGCCGCAGTCAACCACCTGGTGTGAAAACAAAAAGGGGTGGGAGGGGGGGGGGGGGGGGGGGGGGGGAAGAAGAGGGAGGATGGGGGGGATAAGGAGCAAGGAGCAGGTGAAGTGGAGGTGCCGCAGTCAACCACCTGGTGTGAAAACAAAAAGGGGGGGGGAGGGGGGGGGGGGAGAAGAGGGAGGATGGCGGGGATGAGGAGCAAGGAGCAGGTGAAGTGGAGGTGCCACAGTCAACCACCTGGGGTGCCTTCACCAAACTAATGCGGCGTCTTCACCTAACTTGAATCTCATCAAAGTACCCATCCCCTTCCCCCCATCTCCTCCCCCCCCCCCCCCCCCTTCCGCACCTACCCACCCAACTAACCTGTGCTGCTGACGACTTGGTAATGTCATACGGCGGAGAAAGGACCTGCGCGAAAGATGCGGTGTTTGAGAAAAAAGGGGAAAACAGTGGTGCTCAATCTGAGAGTCTGCTGTTCAGGCACGTCACTGATAGTGCGGTAAGGAACGGAAAGGATCTGCAGGAGAACCCCTCTTCTGCAACGTCTAACCGTTTCTTACTACTCCCAACTCCTTACAACCGGAATGATAAACCACGCACCACTGTGGAAGCGACCGGGCAGGCGAGGCAGGGCGCGCAGGTGACCCACATGACGTCACTGCCCGTGTCAATCTGAACCTTAAATTTTTGCACGGGCTGCCCGAGCTGCACTTCCGCCCAATAGAGGCTGGAGACAGGGAACGAGGGGCAGGGTGACAAATTCAGGGTGAGAGCTCTCAGGGCTGGCTAGTGCGAGTAACGAGGATGAAACAGGAGGGGACTTTACATTGGATGCGGAAGGTGGACTGGGAGAGGGCAGCGTGGAAAAGTGCAGGGTGCTTTTGAGAAATTTCATAAACACCCCGCAACTTCGAGGATCGAATGGCGTGGGGTGGGGCTTTAAGTGGGATGGGGAAGGTGGACTGAGAGAGGGCTGCAGTAAAGTGAAGGAGAACAAGTGCTGCCATCACCAATCCTCAGTCCCCAGCCCTCACTCAATTAACCCACATGTGCTCAGTGTCATCCCCAATCATACAAGTCCCCACTACAGTCACATCTATCGCGCATACCCATTATAGTCATCTCAGATAGAACGTACCCCGCGATGGTCATCTCCATATTGCCTCCTAGCTGGTAGAATGCCCCGCCTCCCACTTCAGTCACCGTCCCCTCCCCCAACGATCCGTTTCCCCCGTTTCCACCGATCGTCCAATCCCCTGTTCCCGCCCTAACCGCGCCGCTTTCCACGCCGGTTTTCGCGGAAGGAGAGTTCCGATGAAGACGGAGGAGCCGGCGACGATCGTGCAGTTTGAGCAGTCGAGCGTGATTTGCGGTCATGACGCCACGTGGCTGACCGTGGCGCGCGTGGAAGGAGCTCTCGGAGAGATGCGCGTAGGAGTGGGTGACGGGGAGGACGTAAAACGAGGATGACCCATCGGACGGCTGGGATTCGACAAGCGAACGTAGAGATCGTACGGGTCTGGAACCGAGCCTATAATTTGGTCTTGTCACGGGATCGGTGGCGCTTGTAACGGGTACGGAAGGTCGGCTGGCTTGGATTTGACAGGGTAATAAGATTGCTAGGAGAGCCGCTAGAAGTAGCAGCGCGAGTGGTAATCGATGGGAGAAGGATGCAGTTAGAAGTGACAAACTGGGTTGTCTAGATTGGGAACGATCACGAAAACCACTGCATCGTAGCTTCGCCCCGTGATACAAAACCATGTTGGTCACTCTAAGCGACGCACTTAGGGAGCCAACTAAGATAAGGCTTCGTGATGCGCGTTGAACTTCTCTGGAACGACGATCGTTTATTCGTTACGGCGACATGCTTTAGGTTGCGATCACTCTGGTGTCGTTCGGGAGTCGTAAGAGAAAATGGTAATGCTTCCTGTTAACGCTCGAACGTTAAGAGCTGTATGATCACTTCAGTCAATTGAAAGGTAATGGATCAGTCGTAATTAAGACCGACGCAATAATGTGACCACGAAGGAAAGACAGGAAACTACGAGCGTAGCGCAGCAGCTCGTGTAAACTGTGTATATTACGGTACGAGGATCCAGTCAACTTCGAAACTGGGATGGTTTCAGCGGAGGGAGTATCGCCTCACGTATGGAATGCGATGCGAAGCATGAGAAGATAATGTTGGTCGAGGGAGACTTGTCACGAGAAGGATGATTTGCGTAGTGGAGAGTTCCTCTCAAGGTCCAACCAAAACAATCTCGAGGACAAGCTTGTGTGACCTGCGGCTGACGAAAGCCTCGTGAGATTGGTGGAGGAGGAGCTTGGTCTCTGTTCAAACTGACCGAAGGTGGACTGCCCGTGCTCATAAAAAGTTCAAGGGCGTATGAAAAGCTTGGAGTACGAACCGTTTATGGTACGTTTTTGACATCATGAGTACAGATATAGAACCGGGTCTGTACAACGACTGGTCAAACACTACACAAATCAAATTCGTAGCGGTCAAAACAAACATTGTGAAGTCGGTGGCGAACCATAGCAATGTTGAAGCGGATGCTGCGAAGCAGATTCGCCCAACCGTGTTCGTATGGGCCAACGAGGGCTGTCGTCGACTGATCGGACGTCGTCCGATGAACAGACGACTTCGCATCGGTTTCTGCGAAACATATGGAGCGAAATGAGGGCGACTCGCAACGCAAGGGGAGGTACTTTCGAAGTGCGAATCAACAAAACACGTGCTTATTCCTTATTCGACCGTACCTCGAAGCGGTTCGAGGGACGACAAACCCGAAAACTCTACAGTACTTTCTGTAACAAGGTTAAATTTGCTGGCTGGTTTGTTGCGGGGAGACTGCAGGGTGCGGCAACACTGACGCGGACAGAACCCAGTTGCAATGCACCAACAGCCTGTCACGACACTATATCGAGCGACAGCGAAATGGATATACGGCAGTACATCCATATTCTGTCTCTACATAGAAAGCTTGAGGTGATATCTGGCAAAGACACAAGCTCATGAAAGGCTTACTGCCTATCACATATTTTCTGCAGTTTGTTCTAACACTATTCTAACTTCAGGTCATCATTCCTACCGTATTTGAGTTTGCTCTGTATCTTGTCCACTATAAGACACTAAAGCTCACCCCACTTGCAAGCTTCATGCCCTCTCACCGTATACTCCCACAGTGCACTTTTCTCGCCAGGTTAATGCAGGATAATCTCTCCTCGTTCCCTCAACATAGCTTTGTCCCTCCTCCTTTTTCCCTCGGCTTCGATTCTGTTTCTCCCGATAATACCTCCCGCTTCAGCAGTATCACTTCCTGCTGCCTTGTCGCTTCCGATCCATTAATATTTTCAACCTTATCTTTGGTACCCTTTCCTATCTTCACTCCTCCTTCCCCTACTTCCTCCTTTTTCCCCATCTTTGCTTTAGCTCCTTCCTTTATCTCTCCTCCTCCCTCCTCTCCTCCCGCCTCTCCTCCCTCTTTCCCTTTCTTTCCCTCAGTTTCCTCTCTTTCCTCTTTCTCCCTTCCCTCTTTCTCTTCTGCTCTATCCCCTCCCACTCTCTCCCCCTCCCCTTTTGCCCCCTCCTCTTTCTCAACCCCCTCTTTCTCACCTTGCTCCCCTTCCCTTCCTTTCCCCTTATTCCCTCCAACACGGTCCATTCCCTCCCTCGCCTGCTGCTGCAGCCCTACTTCTTCTTTCCCTTCTCCTCTTTCCTGTCCTTCCCTTCCTCGCACCCCTCCTCCCCTCTCTCTCGTACTCTCCTCTGTCTCCCTTTTCTCTTCCTCCCAATCCCCCTTCTCCACTCTCGCCTTCTGCTCCTCCTCCCCTTCTCCTCTCTCCCTTTTCTCCTCCTCCTCCTTATGTTCCCTTTCCACTGCAGGAGCATCTGGATCCAATCTGGAAGAATCTAATCTGGGAAAATCTGCATCCAGCTTTTGCTCGATGCACCCCTTTCCAGCAGCCGATTCACCCTTGGATTCTCCCACCCCTACGACATCCAAACCAGCAGCGTCAAGTTCACTTCTGAGAGGGTCAGTTTTCAAAGGGTCTGGGACTGTTTTGGGAGGATCTGTTTTGAGAGGTTCTGATTTGGGAGAGTCTGTTTTAGGAGGGTCTCTTTTGGGAAAGTTTCTTTCCAGAAGGTCTTTTTTGAGAAGATCAAGGTCAGCTTGTATGCCTCGCCTTCCCTTACCACCTGCCAACCCAACCGCACCCTTCTCCACCGCAACAGGATCTGCTCCAGAACCCTTTTCCGAAATCACATTTTCTTGAGACAGTTTTCCTGTGGTTGGATCTCCAGCAGTTCTACCTGCCGAGGTCATATTTCTCGAGGTCTCATCTGCCGAAGCTTTATCTGCCAAGGTCTTATCTGTCAAGGTCTTTCCTGCCACGGTCTTATCTGCCGATACCTTATCTTGCGAGGTCTTATTTGCCAAGGTATTATCTTGCGAGGTCTTATCAGCTGAAATCAGATCCCCGGAGGTCTTATTCCCAGCAACTGAGGAGGTCTTATCTGCTGAAGTAGAATCTCCAGAGGACTTATTTGCTCCCATCAAATCCGCCTCAGGCTCAGGCTTACTGCACCCTTCAGTAGACCCAGCTGCTTCAGCTTCAGGTTCAGTTTCAGGTGCAGTTCTAGGTGCAGTTTCAGGTGCAGTTTCAGGTGCAGTTTCAGGTGCAGGTTCAGGTGCAGGTTCAGGTGCAGCCTTCGCTTCAGCTTCAGCTTCTGAGACCTTTGAAGTAGAAGGGAGCAGCTGCTGCACCGGATCTTCTCTGGAAAGACCAGCTGCCAGATCAAGCTCACCCCCCCCAGCTGTACCTTCGCCTTCTGCTTCCCAAGGCTTTGGATTAAAAGGAAGCGACCGGGGCGCATCGGCTTTGGACGGATCAGCTTCCAGGTCAGGCGTACCACCGCACCGTTCAGCGGAACCATCTGCAACACCCTCCGCTTCAGCTGTGTCATTAGCTTCTGCTTCCACTTTTGCTTTGGCGTCTGCTTCTGAAAGCGAACTGAAAGGAAGTGACTGGGGCGGGTCTGCTTTGGACGGATCAGCTTCCAGGTCGAGCTTAGCACCGCACCTGCCATCAGACCCAGCTGCCACACCCTCCACTTCAGCTGTGTCATTAGTTTCTGCTTCCACTTTTGCTTCGGCTCTGGACGGATCAGCTTCCAGGTCGAGCTTACCACCACACCCGCCATCAGACCCAGCTGCCACACCCTCAACTTCAGCTGTAGCTTGAGATTTCACCTGTGCTTCTGTTTCAGCTTCAGCTTTCAGAGATTTAAAACTGAAGGGAAGCGACTGGGGAAAGTATCCGCTGGCGATGCGTGGGGTATCTTCACCAGTAGCGTCTGGCTCTGCCATGGACCCAAATAGACAAAGACCAGCTCCCATCTCTGACTTCTGAGTCTTATCAGACACCTCAGAGGTAGCTTCTGGTTTTGCAAAGGATCCTGATAAGCAGAGACCTGCGCCCATGCCTGTCAAAGACCTAGGGTCACCAGGTTCGGATACAGCCGTACCAGAGCCCAGTTCTGTCCCCGTCCTATCTGCTCTGGCAGGTTCGGTAGTGGAACAGCGCAAACCACCTTCTTGCGATCCCATCCGTAGATCTTGCTCCGAAGCAACCTCAACCGTCGGATCCTGCTCCAAGTCCAGCCCCTGCCGTCCAGATCCTCTGCCCGCCCCATCGCCGATCTCAGCCGTTGGAACAGATTCCAGATCAAACCCTGACCGAACCCCATCCCTCCGAGCCTCAGCTGCAGGTTCGGCCTCCAGGTCAAAATCCAAGCCTCCTCGACCCTTTTTTCCGCACCTCTCCGACTCCCGATCTTCTCTTTCCTCTCCCTCCCCTCTTCCGTCTCTCTCTTGCCTATTGAACTCCACACGATCCCTCTTTCTGATACTACTGGGCTGAGCCTCCGAAAGCGTTTGGTTCACAGCAGCGTCAACTGCTGCAGTGTTTTTTAGCCCTATGTGCCACCCGGCCCCTCCCCGTACTCCTGCTCCTGCTCCTGCTCCTGCTCCTGCTCCTGCTCCTGCTCCTGCTACAGACGCTGCTGCTACTCCTATCCGTGCGTCTGCTGCTGCGTCTCTTGGTACGTCTGCTGCTGTGACGTCAGCGAGTGCTGGTGCATCTGCTGCTGTGACATCAGCCTCGGGATCCGAGTTCAGGTCCGGAGCACCGTTGCAGGCATAAGCAGCCCGAGCCCAGCTCTCAGGCGGGTTGAACGCTGAGAGGATAAGGGAGGGAGAGAGAGAGGTAGGGGAGAAAGGGGAGGAAGGAAGAGAAGGGGCACATAGACTGGTTAGGAGGTCCGGAGCACCGTTGCAGGCGTAGGCAGCCAGAGCCCAGCTCTCAGGCAAATAGACTGGTTAGGAGGTCCGGAGCACCGTTGCAGGCAAAGGTGGCCCGAGCCCATCTCTCAGGAGGGTTGAACGCTGAGAATTAAAAGAGGAAAATGGCGGGGGGAAGGGGGAGTAGAGGAGGGAGAAAAGAAGGGTGCAAGGACGGATTAGGACCGGAGCACTTGAATGCATAAGACGGCCTGAACCCAGCTATCAGGCAGGCGGGTTGAAGGGTGACGATTAGAAGGCGGAGGGAGGGAGGGAGGGAGGGAGGGAGGGAGGGAGGGAGGGAGGGAGGGAGGGAGGAGGAAGAGAGAGAAGGGGAGAGAGAGAGGGGAGAGAGAGAAGGGGAGAGAGAGAAGGGAGAGAGAGGTGAGGAGGAGGGGGAGGAGCGGCAGGGGCACAGAGACCGGGTGGGACGAAAGCACGGATGGATGAGCAGGTGGTCCCAGCCCAGCTTTCAGGAGGGAGTTTTTGAGACTTCTCAAAAACTCCCTGCAACGTCAGGGGCACACCGACCGGGTGGGACGAAAGCACGGATGGGTGAGTAGGTGGCCCCCGCCCAGCTCTCAGGAGGGTTGAACGCTGAGGAGGGAATGGAGAGGGCGGGAGGGGCTGACTATAGGAGGGAAAGGCGCGGCAACTATAGGAGCTGACTTTTGTATCGCCTCAAAAGCCACCTCAGAGCTCAGACTAAAAGCTGGGATCACTTACTGGGTGTGGGTCTGCTGGGGGTGACTTCTGAGTTAGATTCACAAATAAGAGAGCACGGATTAAAGGCTGGGATCACTTACAGGGTGTGGGTCTGCTGGGGGTGAATTTTGAGTTAGACTCACAAATAAGAGAGCACGGAGTAAAGGCTGGGATCGCTTACTGGGTGTGGGTCTGCTGGGGGTGACTTTTGAGTTAGACTCACAAATAAGAGAGCACGGAGTAAAGGCTGGGATCACTTACTGGGTGTGGGTCTGCTGGGGGTGACTTTTGAGTTACTCACAAATAAGAGAGCACGGAGAAAAGGCTGGGATCACTTACTGGGTGTGGGCCTGCTGCGGGAAAGAGGTGCGGCAACGGTAGGGGGGGCTGTTGCAGTTGCTGTTGCTTCTCCTCCACCCATATGGAGAGAGGTAGAGGGAGGCGCAGCAGCAGGGGAAGGAAGGGAGGAGGTGGAGCGAGGAGCAGCAGCAGGAGAGGGGAGGGAGGAGGTAGAGGGAGGCGCAGCAGCAGGGGAAGGAAGGGAGGAGGTGGAGCGAGGAGCAGCAGCAGGAGAGGGGAGGGAGGAGGTGGAGCGAGGAGCAGCAGCAGGGGAGGGGAGGGAGGAGGTGGAGCGAGGAGCAGCAGCAGGGGAGGGGAGGGAGGAGGTGGGGGGGGGGAGGGAGGGGGCATGACTGGCAGCTGTAGCTGAGACAGAAGCTGCTGCTGCTTCTGTGGACATAGAAAACGGATGAAAGGGGGTGGGGAAGGGGGGAAGGGGGGAGAGAGTGGGGGAGAGAAAAACAGGGGCACACACACGCGCACCTGATGTAAATGATGTGACTTGAAAGAATTCTCAAAAGCAAGCACACACGCGCGCACCTCATGTAAAGTATGTGACTTTCAAGAATCCTCAAAAGCGCACACACGCGCAGCTCATGTACATGGTGCAGCTCTTGTGTGACTCTACACTCACGCGCAGCTCATGTACATGGTCCAGCTCGTGGGTCTGCCTGGCTTACTCCTCCTCCTCCTCCTCCTGAGATAAGTCCTTTTTTAGTCGTTTAAAAAAAGACTCATCCCAAGCCATCCAACCACCCAATCAAGCACACAAACGCGCACCGCACCTCATGTAAATGGTGCAGCCCGCAAATTTGCCTGCTGCACTCCTCGTCCCAAGCACGTAAGAAAGGCGCCTTACATCCCCACCCAGGCTACCCAAGCAAGCACACAAACGCGCAGACTTTTGAGTCGACTCAAAAGTCAAACGCGCACCGCACCTCATGTAAACGGTGCAGCTTGCGAATCTGCCTGCTGCACTCGTCCCAAGCACGAAAGAAAGGCGCCTTACGTCCCCACCCAACCACCCAATCAAGCACACAAACACGCACCTCATGTAAACGATGGAGCTCCCATCTGCCTGCTGCACTCCTCCTCCTGAGACTGCATGGCAGCAAAGACCCGTCGAGCCACCTCCTCCCCCACACGGGTATGGGCAAGCACGCACACACACATACATACCTCATGTAAATGATGCAGCTCGTGAATCTGCCTGCTGCACTCCTCCTCCTGAGACTGCATGGCAGCAAAGACCCGTCGAGCCACCTCCTCCCCCAATCCACCCAACCCAAGCAAGCGCGCACCTCATGTAATTGATGCAGCTCGCAAATCTGCCTGCTGCACTCCTCCTCCTGAGACTGCATGGCAGCAAAGACCCGTCGAGCCACCTCCTCCCCCAAGCACTTGGCCATGTTGCTCCTCAACCTCTCAACCGCCCTCAACTCCTCTACACCCCTCACATCCTCCACTGCTTTCTTCTCCTCCTCCACTTCTCTCCTCTCCTCCTCTGCTCTCTTCTCCTCCACTTCTCTCCTCTCCTCCCCACCCATCCTCCAGTCCTCCACCTCCCTTTCCTCTTCAACTCTCCTCCCCTCCTTCCCTCTCCTCTCCTCCTCTCTCCTCTCCTCCCCACCCATCCTCCAGTCCTCCACCTCCCTTTCCTCTCTAACTCTCCTCCCCTCCTTCCCTCTCCTCTCCTCCTCTCTCCTCTCCTCCCCACCCATCCTCCAGTTCTCCACCGCCCTTTCCTCTTTAACTCTTCTCCCCTCCTCAACCACCCCCTTCTTTTCCCCTCCTCTCCCTCTCCTCTCTGGCCTTCGCTCCTCAGCTTTCGTATTTCCCTCAGCTGCTCCCTTGTCATCTA